CCTGTGATACAGTTAAAAAAAGGATTAGCAATATCAGATGGACTGTTTCTTTGTTGTCGTGGGTATTGTTTAGTAATCAGAAGCAGATGTGTGGACTAATGCAGCCCACACACTGAATAAATATTAACAGAAGTCTCACAGCAGCGGTTTAGACTGAGCAAGTCTGAGGCCAGATAGTCAGTTCTCAAACGTGATAATGCTCTCAGAAAGTGCGCTTTTGCACAATGATATGCAAACAATTACTCTTCCTCCTAAAGATACAGTACAGACAGAACAATAGCAAAAGCTGATGTCATTTAGAAACCAGAAGTGTAACTGGAGAAAGAATTGAATTTCTTTGCTGAAGTATTTGAGATTGTAAGTTATTATTCTCCAAAGATACTTGGTTTGGTCAGGTGGGTGTTTTCTGCTTACTCTGATATTTATCATCAGTTAACGTTCCGCATCGTTGAGTTTATTGTTAGTCCCTATCTCAACAGTAGTTTTGAAGCAAAAAACCTGGTTCGAATTCTAATAAAATATTGCCTATCCACTCCCAGGTTAAAGAAAAAAATAATTTCATTTTTGAGAGAGGGTCCCAATGACATTCGGAAAATGAACCGAGTTGAAAAGAAATGTTTCTGAAGGGGGCTAATTTTCCTCAGGTAGCATGTTTTGAAAATGCCCATTGGAGATCATCCGTCTTGCACGAAACGGACTTCAACACACACTTCACCAACAGCAAGCAGACTTGAAAAGAGTCTTTCAAAAGCACAGCACCATCTAGGGACTGCAATCTCTACAGTCAACTCAAACACGCCAAGAGCCACTTCCAGGAAGTACACTGCTGGAATAACCAGTGCTGTGAAAAACAGAATATTATTTTCCTTACGTTTTTCGTGCTCCCTAGTTTGAAAGCCTCTTTCTTTAGAGGATTTTTCTAATCCTTGTTACCTGGGTGGGAGGAGAAGGTACATTTCCTTCACATTCATTAGTGGTTTCTCAGTTTGCCTTTCATGAGTCTTTCTTTCATGAAGCCCTGGCTGAGCAGAACGACTCTCCTCATATGAATCCCTGTTTCCCCAGAACCCCTCTTTTAGACTGTGTGAGAGACCGGAGCAGAGCCATTCTGTCTGTGCTGGCCGCTGGCTTCACAAAGACTGCTGGGAGGAAATCAGCCTGAGCCTTTTGAATGCAGATGGAGAGCAATGATTCAGGGAGAGCTCACGCTGGGCTCCCAGCACGGTGCCCAGTCAGAGGAGCTTGGGCTTAGTGGGAGGATGCGAGGTTTGGGGTGGGGGGTGGTGGTGGTGCTCTGTATGATCATCAGCACCCTGAGTTCAGAGACAGCAGCCGTCAAAAAGCAGCCTGTAGCATCTCTTCAGCTGCATCTCAAGAGGCCCAGGAGAAAGTTCAGAGCCCAACTCCTCAATCCTGTGCCTCGCCTCTCTCTTCTCCATCCCGCCATCTCTCCCTCTCGCCACCTTATCTTTCTCTCCAATATAGCCTCATCATCTACGATCTATGAAGGCAGTCTCCTGGAAACGTGAGCGTAGGTGGCGTCTTTCTGGCCTAATTGTAAATCATCAGGCTTGGAAAGATTACTTGTCTGAATCTAAGGATATGATAGAATCTGCTAGATCCTATCTGCTAGATCCAAAATTCAGCAGCCAGAATCCTGACCAGGTCTAGTGCAAGTGATCACATAACTCCTATCCTGGAGTCCTTGCACTGGCTTCCTGTCACGTTTCGTGTTGGCTTGGCACCTTAGTACCTGTCTGAGCTATTATCGCCCTACTCCCCACCTCGCAACCTTCGTGCTTCTACTTCTGGTCTCCTAAATGTCCCCCAAGCCCGTCTACATTCTATGGGTGGCAGGGCCTTCCCCTCTTATGCCCCCCCAAGCTCTGGAAGTCTCTCCCCAAGGATATCCGA